CTCAGCCTCCCAAGTAGCTGGGACTACAGGCGCCCACCACAACATCAGGCTATTTTTTTGTTGCAGTTTGGCTGGGGCGGGCCTGAACCCTCCACCCTCAGATATGAGGCCTGCGACCTACCCACTGAGCCACAGGTGCCGCCGTATAAGTGATATTAATATTCTTGAGACTTTAATGTATGTGCCAGGCCCTGTGCTGAGTGTTGTACTGTCAGCGCACTGTGGGAGGAATACAGCTCTAGTGTGTTCTGGTTAGACTTAATGAGAGAAAGACGTTTCACCTGGGGCTGCAAAATGGGTACAAAATAATAGCTAGCATTTATTGAGCATTAAGGCATTGTTCTAAGTACTATGCTCTTTTAATTGTCAAAACAACCCTGTGCAGTAGCCTGTTGTGCTCATTTGAAAGAAGAGGAAACTGATCACAGAAAAGTGCCCCAAGTCTTATAACGGATAATGGATGCAGAAAGCCAAAGTGGTGGAGTGTTCCAAGTCCACAGAGGACACTCTTAACCATTCTCTAGGAGATGTGGAATATCCCTAGAACGTCTTTAGTTGACGTGGAAACCAGCCAAAGTTCTGTTTCTTCATTTTCTACACAAGAGCAATAGTGTTTTAAAGAATTAATTTCAGGGGTGGTACCTGTGGCTCTGTGAGGAGGGCACCAGCCCCATATACAGAGGGTAGAGGGTTTGAACCTGGCCTTGGCCAAACTGCTGCAACAACAACAAAATAGTGGGGTGTTGTGGTGGGTGCCTGTAGTCCCAGCTACTTGGGAGGCTGAGGCAAGAGAATCGCCTAAGCCCAAGAGCTGAAAGTTGCTGCGAGCGTCACACAGCAATCTACCCAGGGCAACAAAGTGAGACTCTATCTGTAAAAAAAAAAAAGAGTGAATTTCAGAATATGTGATATAGTCCGTTTCCCAGATAACCCACAGTGCCCACGAATATTGAGATTACAGTCACAAATGTAGTTTTCTTAGTACTTGTCCTTTATCATACCTCCCTCTTGGTTCTTCTCTCTCCCTCTCAGAATAACTCCTTGTTTTGTCAGCTTTTCTTTTATTGCTTCTTCCCTAGGTATGTTTTTCTTTTTCTTCTTGAGACAGAGTCTTTCTCTGTCACCCTGGCTAGAGTGTAGAGGTGCCATCAGAATTCACTGCAACCCAAACTTCTGAGCTCAAGTGATCCTCCTATCTCATCCTCCTGAGTAGCTGGGACTACAGGCATGCCCCACCAATCCCCACTAATTTTTCTAATTTTGGTAGAAACAGAATCCTGTTTTTGCCCAGGCTGGTCTCAAGCTCCTGGACTCAAGTGATCCTCCCTCCCTGGCCTCCAGAATGCTAGGATTACAAGTATCAGCCACTTCAACTAGCCATGTTTTTCTTATTATTTTTGTGTTTTCACTACTTTTGAGATTGAATTTTCTCCTATATCTGGATAACTCTAAGATAATCTCCCCAGCTTTGGCTTCTCCCCAGTTGCCTGCTTGTCTCCTTTACAAATATTAGACACCCCCTAAAGACAAGAAATCTGCTGTCTTTATCTACAGGGTCAATCCTCACCAAGACTCCCTTATCTTTATCTATGTTAATAGCACTTTCCTTGTACCTTGGCACCCAGATGCTCCCTTTTTGGCTTCCATCATGTGGGGTAAAGATAGCAAACTCTAATCAGCTGTCAAGAGTTCTATTGATTCAAACCAAAAAATTTCAATTGATTGTTAACATGACAGCTAACTCTTCTGCATTAAACTATGGTTTAATACCTACTGCCTCCTTCCTGTTTCCTGTCACTTCTATAATCCACATGTGTCTGTTTTATTGAATCCTGTAAATGACAGGATCATCTTTTTCAAGTATAGTTTTTTTTTTTTGAGACAGAGTCTCATTTTGTCACCCTCGGTAGAGTGCTATGAAGTCATGGCTCACAGCAACCTCCAACTCTTGGGTTCAGGTGATCCTCTTGCTTCAGTTTTTCATTTTTACTAGAGATAGTGTCTCCCTCTTGCTCAGGCTACTCACAAACTTGAGAGCTCAAGTGATCCACCCACCTAGGCCTCCCAGAGTGCTAAGATTACAGGCGTGAGTCACCACGCCTGCCCTTAAGTACAGTTCTGATCAAGCTTTTACCCTACCAATACTTTATACTTTACAAGGACTTCCCTAATTTCCCTACTGTTTTTCAGTATTTCTCTTTAGGCATTAAATCGGTAAACAAGGAGCTATTAGAGAAAATTCATGTTAGGGTAAATGTTGGAAAGGCAAAATGGGTGGGTCAATGGACTGTAGGGAGCTAGGGTTTAGTTTTATGTCTCCCATCACCACCATCTGAATCCAGCCAGTTACTTAGTGTTCCCATCCCACATCTTTTAGAGATGGAGAGGGAGGCCAGCATGGTAGCTCATGCCTGTATTCCTAGCACTCTGGGCGGCTGAGATGGGTGGAGTTGGAGGGCAGCCGGAGCAAAAGTGAGATCCTGTCTCTAAAAATAGCCCTGGTGGGTGCCTGTAGTCTCACTCAGGAGGCCGAGGCAGGAGGATTGCTTGAGCCCAAGAGTTTGAGATTGCTGTGAGCTATGATGCCAGAGCGCTCTATTGAGGGTGACAAAGTGAGACTCTATCTCAAAAAAAATGAAAAAAAAAAAAGATGGAATGGAAGAGTGGTACAGCCCATAACAAAAGGGAATCCAGAAGATGGTACCAGAGCTTTTACACAAATGTGAGTAGTTTGTGTTAATCCATGAGGAACTTGTAGTTAACCAGAGATTCAGAGGGTTTCCTTTCTTCTATTCAACTCACCTTCTGCAAATGACAGGGGTGGCTGAATTCTCTGGGCACCCTACACAATCATGTCTTCTGGATTGGCAGAGAAGTCTTTCACCCCTAGACATATACACCCACTTTCTCACTTCTCTGGATGGATTAATGACCTCAACATGAAAAACAATGACGAAAACATAGGAGAATAATTGTATTGAGAGAGGAGAGAGGAGGAGAAAACCTTTTAGCAAGTTATTCAAATTAAAAGCCATAGAAGTCTGGTTATTTTAGATTAAGGTGTCATAGGAAAAATAAAAAAAATAGAGGGAAAGATGGAAAATTTAACTACATCCAAATTAAAAACTTCATTTGTAAAAAAAGACATAAGTAAAATTGAAAGACCTGGAAGAAGGTATTTTTCAATATGTGCAATAGACAAAGGAGTAAAGGATATGAACCAGATATTCTCAAATGAGAAAACTTAAACTTTTCTGCTCAGAGGTGGCCAAAGTGCAGCTTTCAATTTTTAATTTTTTTCACTTTGTCACCCTCCATAGAGTGCCCTGGTGTCATAGCTCACAGCAACTTCAAACTCTTGGGCTCATGCAATGCTCCTGCCTCAGCCTCCCGAGTAGCTGAGACTACAGGCACCTGCCACAGCTATTTTTAGAGACAGGGTCTTGGTTTTGCTCTGGCTGGTTTCTAACTCCTGAGCTCAGACAATCCACCCACTTCAGCCTCCTAGAGGCTAGGATTACAGGCGTGAGCCACCGTGTCTGGCCTAAGGTGCAACTTTTTTTGGTCATCCCAAATCTGGATTCATCCAACACCCTCTGCCTCCACCATGCTGCCTAAGTCTGACCCCCTACAAGATCAAAGTTGTGTACCTGAGGTGCACTGGGGGCGAAATCAATGCCACATATGCCCTGGCCCCCAAGATTCACCCCCTGGGTTTGTCTCCAAAAAAGGTTGGTGATGAAATTGTCAAGGCTACTGGTGACTGGAAGGGTCTGAGGATTCTAGTCAAACTGACTATCCAGAGCACGCAGGCCCAGATTGAAGTGGAACCTTCTGCC